TACACGGGGCTCATTTCTCCTCACTTTATTCATCTCAATCATCCTGTAAGTGAAGAGAGAATGAACAGCCTAAGGTGGCTGAGGGCAGACTAGCAAATTGGATCTTCCTCCCTCAAGTCTTATCTCTTAATTGCTATACATCACGTACTTTGCGCCATTCTTCACTTTGCATCCCATTCCATCCAAAGAGGCAATGAAATTACCAAATTCAGCCTTTCAGAAGAAAAACTTAGGAAAGTAAAACTTTTCTTGTTGAATGTAGTATTAATTTTCAACCCAAGGTTTGGAGATTATAGCTCAAATGTAGATCAACTACTCCCTCTACAGAAAATATGGCATTACAACATCAGGAAAATGATCTAAAATCCTCTGGGACCTTCTAATAAGATACATGTGCTCTACTGAAGCAAAGCTATTAAGACGGTAGGTGTTCTTCTCTTCCTAAATTACATTTGAAACCGCTGAGATGTAAATAGATGAGCCAATGAATTTTCCAGAGCTTTCCAAACAGTTCTGAGTGAAAACATGTTAGATAATATATTACCAAGCAGAATCCATGACTTGCACAGAAAACAAAATCTGAATATCAATTTGAAATCAAGCATATTATCATTGAAACTAGCATAGATTTATCATTTAAAATCTGTTTGATACATTTTCTCAGCTGTTTTGGAAACTCAAAACAGTATTCAAAAAAGACATCCTTCATAAAAAGTTTATAATGTGAAGTATCAAGAAACAACCAATTATGACTTCAATGGGAGAAAGGGAATTGGAATCACAGCCAGACCATTGTGGGAGAGCGGTTTGTAAACCTCAGGAGGGGAAGTAGCAGGGTACTTGTGAAGAGTCCAGGGTCCAATTTGTGATATTACTCATAAGATGTGTTGATAATATTGTTGACTTTTCTCAATGGGTGAAGAGAAGAAAAACTATTTGTTTTTATAATCTAGTGAATCCTTGGAATCCCTCTCTATAAATCCATTCTGATTGAAAGGGGTTGCTTTCAAATAAATACACATAGAATTTACCACAATAGTAGATAACCCATGATCCACTGGGTATATATTCCCCTACTAAACAGAGAAACAGAATGACCCTCAGAGGCCATAAAATCAATGGGAGTGTGAGCAACTTCTAGCTTCCTGCCTGCTTCCCCATTGACTTTGCATGTGGGAAGCTGGCAAGGGAGAGTTGGAAATCTCCTCCCTCCCTATATAAAAGGGGTAATAAGTAAGAATTTGTAATAATAAATAAAATAAACAAATAAGGATAAGTAAGGTAAACAATAAATGTAAGTAATTATTTAGTAAGTAAGGATGGAGTTGTTGAGATACCAAATGATGAAATTATGAATCTCTTCAAAATAAAATCTGTGGGCAGAATTATGTCATTTATTTTAATATTTTAAAATAAATCTCATTTTGTGGAAGTCATACTGAGGACATATTAAATAAACCTGCTGAGGAAGCCATCGTTCTGCTTACACTATGCTACCTAAATAAATTGAGATGTGGGGTCATTGGTGGTCTCTGAGCTTGGCTGTATTTCTGCAGATATTTCACCACCCAAATAGGTAATATCATGAGTGTTAGATTGTGCTAAATTGGGATATTAATTCTATGAATGTCTGAATTTCTACACTGAACTACAAGTCCACACGAGTTTGCTGACCAACAACTATAAGAGTTTCTGGACTTTCAATACAGAATTGAGTGGTAGTCACAAGGCTCCAAAGAAATCAGGTTTCCATCAGACTAACATTTCTTCTTACATCATTCCTCTCATCATATGAGGTATATTTCTTTTGTATGACTCAGTGGCCTGCATGCCACAACATGGTTTGGAGTTCTGCAGTAAAATTAGCTCATCTCTTCTGGGGATCTAAAATAACATCAGGAGTCTACCCCTGACTAAATATGGTCCTTGGTGGAAATTTAGGTAGCAGCTCATAAACAAGACTAAAATTTGACAGATCAATAGATAGCCTTACCTTTCTATTGAGAGTGCTGATAGATAACCACAGTTTCAATATCAAGCAATCAAAGCTTTATTCATTCTCATTAGTGATCCAGAGGCACTTGAGAACCATGGAGCAAAAGTCTTGAGGGGCAAATGTTAATTATCATTTGATGTGGATAAGCATATATCATAGTTTAAACTACAGTAAGTGGCATATAACCCCATTTTCAGTGAATTGGACAGAAGTCAGATGTGGAAACTGCTAGAGATTAAGAGTTTAAAAACTGTATATGTGAAATTTCGAAAAATTGTTGGAAGCTGCCTAAAACCAAAGCAAAAGCAAAAGAGTTTTCCCCCAAACTCTTGACAGTTTTCCTTAGCAAGAAGTATTGAGATGGATTTCCAACAATTGAACAATTTAGAACCAATATATCCGCAAGTACATCAAGTTGAAAACTTTCTGCTTTTCTTTCTATAGCCTCTCTGTGAAGCAGCAAGGAGATGGGTCTTTTGAATGATAACAGAAGTTTACAATTGCCTCAGCCACCTGAATCCTCAGTAGTCTGGGAACTGGAACTAGATTAACATCTAAAAGATTCACGCAGTAATAATTCTACACAGTCAAGCATTTATTATCTTGCTCTGGTGAGAAACATAACTATATTTTTAGAAGTACCTGTAATGTCATCATTAGTAAAGTTTTAAATACAATCAAGTGAGGAACTATAAATGCCAGTTGGGTTGCTCTACCCGTTATCTTTCAATGACTTAAATGCATTAAATGCAAACTTAAATTAAATGTTTCAAACTGCTAACTACAGCTACTCCACTAAACATAGTAGACATATTCTGAAATAGACCACTTTGCAAGTTCAAAATTCAAGATTTCCATACTACAATAACCTTGCAATGCCAATACCAGTTGTAAGGAAAAAGTAAGATGTAGTCAACAAGGAGTGAATGAAATGCACCATACTGACAGGAATGGTCCCAAGCATTTGCCTTCTTAACATAATGGGGACTGGGTGCCCTCAAGTTTTCCTATTGATTTACTTAACAATTAGTAAAATTATGTAATGGTACAAAATACTCAAGATCGCCAGAATGATTCTTTCAAGGATCAGGCTAGAGTATGTCTGAACAGCATAAACATAAAATTTAATATTTAACTATGAGATGCTAACAGAAGAGTTAAGATAACAGTATCTGTTACCTCATTAAAAGCTGCAAAAGGAGACATGAAGGATTACACACAGCCTTTAGTAAAGTAATACAAATTGACCACCCATTGTGCAATTACTCCCAAGACAATAAAAATCAAGTGTTCTCTGAAAGATTTACACAGCTGACATGGGAAAACTGCACAAGGAGAACAGAGACTTTATTCAAATAGCTAAACTTAATGGCTATCTTTTCACAGGATATTTTTGCTTGCAAAAACATTATTTGAAAATAACAAAACATTTGGCTGCAAGCAAAGATGCTTTTCACATGGAGAAAGGCATGTTCATCTCATGAGCCTCGGCAGGTGGAGCAGGGGGTGTTTGTCAAATTTTAGAAATCACTCTTTTGTACAGGTGTCATAATGTTGTACAGACTTAGGGGAAGGGTTGAGTTTTTATTGTGATGTGACAATATGCTTTTATCACTCTGACAAATCCTCTATAGGCCGTGGACGTCTCTAAATCAATACAAGTAGTCCTTGGGTTGGGACCAGAATTTCAGTCGCTAAGTGATACAAGACATCAACTGACTGCATCACTTTTTGATGGAAATCCTTGCCCTCCCTGTTATTAGGTAAAGATTGAGGATTGTTAAGTGAAGACCTCCTCACAACTTTCTGCCGGCTTCCAAAAAGCAAAGTCAGTGGAGAATCAGCAGGAAATTGCATGTCCCAGGCATCTCACAAGTAGAGGGCTGTGTAGATACAAGGCTGCTGCCTGATGGGGATGGACATGCAAAGGGACTTGGGGTCCAGTGCAGTTCAAGTACTGCAGGGCCAGGGGTGGCTGCCACCAGGTGCACGAGGGTAAGCAGGTGACTGCTGCCAGTAGAGGAGAGATGCTGTAGCTACCACAGCATGGCTCCTCAGAGGAAAAAGCCACAAGAATATGAGAAAATTACGTGTGACCTTCCCTGCTAGTTTCCCCATTGACTTTGCTTGTGGGAATCAGTAGAGGTCAGAAATGAGGATCCCATGATATGCGAGGCTACAGCCATCCTAAATAGGAGCTGGTTGCCAAATGCCTAGATGGTGGTGACCGTGAAGATCCTAGGAAAGCCAGAACTCTGAGGACTGGTCATAAGCACCACTCATTCAGCACTTTCATAACTTCAAATAGTCACTTCATGAGTGGTCATTAACTGAGGACTACCTATATTTCTTTTGTATTTTCAGCAAGAACAATGCAAAAAAGGAGTGCAGCTGAAACCTGAGGGAGTTCTACTTTCCTTCCTAAATACCAGCAAGAAGCAAAATTATATAAACTGATAGAACCAATCAGTTATAATATGTGATTTTTTTTTCAGAACCACAAGGCTTCCACCGCTTGTTCTACCACATAAAAAATAAGATTCTTATCCACTGAAAATTGAGAATCGGTTGAGATAATTTCTCCCCTTCTTCCACCCATTGCTCCCAGCAGTGAAGTCTTTGTAGTTTTAATGGTTATCATTTCTCTACTCAGGGTTGTTAGGATACAGCCCATTACTGCATTTTACTAATAGCTGATTGAACCGACAGTACAATCAATATTTATTCTTTGGCTGGTCACAAATATAGTTTGTTTTTATGATGATAAGTTTCAGTCAGAAGCCTCTCTGAATTTATATATGTTCTATCTTTAGTCACATAATCAGTGGGCTTAAATAACACTGTCATTTGTTATGCTAGCCTGATACCAAAGGGAAATATATTAGAATCATTTAGCAGTGTATTTTAATGTAAGAAAAAAACAATGCAACAAGAGTTGCTCCCATAAAATCCTTCTGGAATTATTTGTATATTGGTTTTCGGCCTACATCAATCATCAACTTACCTTGATAACCAATTTGTCCAAAGTCATGGTTGCCTCTTTAATTGGTGATGAAACCTGTAAGATAAATAAAAGATGTATCACTTTAGGCAATCTGTAATGATTAAGGACTGTGAACACTACATACCATAATGTCAAACTTGAGAAGAATGTTGTATGAATGCATATTATTTGGTTTTTCTTTTTACTTTGTAGCTTACTACAAAGTACAATTAGGCGCAGAATGCATGTAGTATGTTTAACCAAATAGCTTGGGGTTTTACATTATTTCCACAGATACAATTCTTTTTTTTTTACAATTATTAGAATAGAGCATAGAAAATACCACATTTCTCACAGTTATGGTCAAAGTCCCAGCCATATAATTACTTAACAGGATAATGGGAGAAATACTACTGTAATATTTCCCAAGCATGACACTTTTGCTATCCAAAACTGTCAGTAATAGCAATTTCACTCAAAGATGGAAAACCTAAGTGTTACTTAAGTCTTCCTATAAGAGATATACGTTCAGTCAAAGATATATTTTTTTCTATTTAGAATGCATCTTTATTTATGCTACAGTTGTCATAACCTTCCTAGCTGGATTCCATTTGCCTCACCATCGTAAATGCAAACTGCTCTGATTAAGAAAAAGAAAAAATACTACATATAACTGAAGGACACTTCTGATCAAAGCTTCTGCTTAAAAGTGAACATTGTAAATAATGTTACAGTTTACAAAATTTCAGGATTGATTTACTCGTGTTAGATTATTTATGATTTAAATCTACTATTCTGCCTGTTTGATTAATATGATTATCAAGTGGAAGTTGAAGCCGAGAAGCTCAAATTATAGGAGGGGATAAAAGGAGGGAGCTTCAGACCGGTATCAATCTCTGCTTGGGCGGTCTCTTATTCAGAGCAAGAACTCTGCCTCATGAGGACAATTTCATAGTTTAAACATCTCTGGACTCTCCCTCTAAATGGCAAAAGGAGATACCAGCAGGGGACATGAGTAAGGTCTTGTAATGGCATGTGGGAATGACCTTAGGACAGTGGCCCCCAACCTTTGGGCATCAGGGACCAGTTCTGTGGAGAGAGATTTTTCTGCGGACTGGAGGGGGGGGGGCGTGGTTTTGCATCCTGCAAAGGGGGCTTTGCTTGTTTGCACAGACCAGTTGCTGTCATGCTGCAGACCGGTTCTGATCCATACGTCAGGGATTGGGGATCCCTGCCTTAGGAGAAAGGCGGGAGAGTGGTAGACTAAACAAATTGGCATGCAAAAGATGTCTCAACCCACAGAAGCAGGGAGGGTGTGGGAAATGTTTTTGAGAGAGCAAAAAGAGAAAAGTGGAGAAACACTTTCAGATTTTACCTATACTATAATATAAGCTTCTAATGAAGATAGACCTAGTATTCCTGATTGTGCTTCTTGTTTGGATTACTTTGTAGGGTTTACAGGTATGGCTGTCACACCTAATGCCACACTCTCTTCAAGTAACGGAATACCCACAAAATAAGCATTTACCTCATAAGAACTCACCTACCCAGGCTAAACCAAAATATGGGGTTGGGACAGATCAGAAAAACACAATAGCCACCTCCTCGATATCATTGCCAAGAGAATTACACAGAATTACATATATCAAGGCAGTAAGGAGAAATCAAATTCAACTCAAGAAAGTCTTTATCTTAATGCTTAATATTAGAGTGAGGCCTTCCTTCCCACTGGCAGAGAAATCAGTCCCAGGTTCAAATACTCTATCCTATATCATTTATTACAATTTTAAAAAATCTTTTCTTGGAAGTCCCATTGCCCTGAATCACGCTTAAAACCAAGGGAGGAAAACGAAAACACATATAAACACACGCACAGGCCATTTGTCAGAGAGACCAAAATACTTTCTACATTCCTCAGTCCCTGGAAAAAAATATAGCCAGATTTTAAATTATTTTGCATTCAATACTTAGCTGTCTGACGAATGGTGAGCACTGTGTAATTAAAGGCAAACGTTTTCATAATTTAAAAGCAAAAAGAAAAGGATAAAAGCTCGTTGAGATTAGCTCTGGAATAAAGAGCAAAGGAAAGAGTCAGAAGGAGACTCAACAGTAGCAAACTATTGAGATAGAATTTAGATGTAAAAAAAAAAACCTTTCCATATAGAAACTAACTTTCTAAAGGAGACTATTGATAGCTCAGAGTTGAAATGAGGTGGTCTTTGTGCTCTCTGAGCTTGGTTGTTTTCTTGCAGACATTTTATTACCCAAGCTAGGTAATATCATCAGTGCTAGTGGTAGTGCTAGCATTGATAATGTTATCTAGTTTCAGTAGTGAAACATCTACAAGAAAACTAAAGAATCAAGCTAAGAGAGCAGCAAGGACCCCTCAACTAACACTCTTCACCTATGTATATATGGACATAGATACTTGAATTAGAATTCTATTGTACCAATAGAAAGGTACAATCTGAAATGGGAGTCACCATAGAAAGAACAACTTTATACACAGAGTCTTACCAAAGATTTAGCTAGAATTATTCACAGATCTTGATATATTTTGAAGCAACTGCATATAGACCTTTAGGAGCAAGATCTAAATCCAGGACTATAAAGTAATTACTAAAATTTAATACAAAGTTCTGAGCAGGAAGGGCAGGTTCACAGTTTAAAACATGTCTGTGAACCTTTACACCTATTTTTAAAGAAAGAGTACCTGCAGTGTTTTCAGACAGTCCATTTATTCCTAAAGCTATCTAGATTGCAGGCCTAATTCCCCTGTGCAACTCTTATTTTGTAGGAGAGCAAATTCTGGGCAACATTCTTCAAGCTGTGAGTTATTTTCAGTGGTAATGGAACCCAGGTCATAATTTGCTATGCCAAATAATTTTCTGACCAAGGACAAAGATCCCAGGGCATAGGGAGAACAATCTATAGCGAGAACAAACAGGATTCAATCTTTTGCAAGACTGTCTTTTCTTATTAACAAGTTTAGAATGTTATGAAGATTCCAATGTACATAAGTATGCTGATAAGCATCACAAATCTGGTTATGAATTCACAAAATACATGAAAACATTCTGCAGCATGAAAATGTGGGTTCAGATTCTTCCAAGGAAAGCACACTAAGGCAGGATCAGTTTCCAAAAAAAGGATTTATTGTGGTCAGTGGAGGGTAGAAATACACACCAAAGAGTTCAGTAACCTTTAATGAATTCCTACACCCTATTATGCCTCTGTACCACAATGTTTTGTAATGTTTATTAGTTTTTACATCAGTCTTTACCTTATATGGGTTCTTAAAGTTATTTCTTCATTCTAAGACTTGTTGTATGTGTCTTTCGCTCTTTGACCTAATGGCAGTTTCTGTGCAACCATATTTACCAACATGTATGCTTTTTGTCTGTGTAGCACAGGAATATCAATCTCGATTTCATTGAGGGCCACATCAGGGTTGTGTTTGACCTTGGGGACTGGGTAGGCGTGGCCAGCTCAATGTCACTCATGTTGGGGACTCCTGTGGACAGTTCCTGAGCTCCATTTTCACTGGCAGAAGGTTGCAGGAGGCCATCACAGCCACCTGAGCTCTATTTTCATCAGTAGGGGCACCGTGGGCCGGTACCTACCTGTTCCAAGGTCGCCCCATGGGCAAAATGTAAGAACCTAGCGGGCTGTATACCACCCGCGGGCCTTGAGTTTGACACCTGTGGTGTAGCAGAATTAAAAATTTCCCCCTTCAATTCTTACCTGCCAGCAGAGCAAAGATTTGAGACTTCTCAATTCAGATTCTAATAGCAACCAGATGACGCTGTAGAATTCACTGGTTTCCTTTTTGAACAACTGTAAAAAAAAAGAAAGAACAAGATTGTTAATTGCCAAGCTGGAGAATTAAGATGTTTGAATCCTTGAGAATTTCTTATCAACTAGTGTTCAAGAATACTGTACCACCCAAAAGTGGAAAAATTACTTAAATCAAACTTCATGAAACATTGCTTTCCTTTTTGCTATAGCAAAAATCTAATTACAGAGGCCTCCAATTTTAAGCTGGGAGTCACACCTCTCACAATAAGGTCCTGAGGACTTGACATTCTTACAATGGTTACCTCTTAGGGGATATAAAACAATTACAAAGCACTAATTTACAGGCTTTTAACTGCTATCCTGAAAACCAGAAGAATAGCCTCTGCTTTTCGTTCTTTTCCTGAGGATACTAAATGCAGCAACCTAAGATTTTTCTTTTCTACAAAAATTTATAGGTCTCATCTAGGGTCCAGAAGCATTCTTGAAAATAAAGAACTTGACCGATAAGAAGCAAACCAGCTTCTTAATTTAATGCAAATAAAAAAATCAAATAGGGCAGGGAGTCTTGTGGTCACCAAAAAAGGTTTTCCCCAGGCACACAGGTGCACATGGATGCCATGTTGGAGATCCCAGCATTAGGTAATTATGGATTTTATGCCACACTGTTAGTTAAATCATAATGCTCGAGAGACAACAGGAATTCCTTTGAATTCTGGACAAACAGTAACATGACACAAATTTCTTCACCATTCTGCCTTCAACTGTTAAGAAGGACTGGGCCGAAAGCTATCACCAAAGGGCTTAATTTTCTGTACTTTGCCAGAAGAGCTAAAAGCTCCAGAAAAGTACTAATTCATTTTGCTAACCCTTGAAAAGAATTACATTGACTGACCTAAACCAAGACATCTATAGGGACACCCTACGCATCTGCAAAATAGATGTTCCTGCTGCATACAATGATGCTATGAGGACAGGATTCAAGGTCAGGAGCAGATCAACACAACTGATTTCCCTAGAAAGGATTAATGTTCTGGGTAGATAAAAACCTATACCAAATAAACAGAATAATGGAAACCTCTACATATAGAGAATTAGAAAAGGAGAGGCCACAATACATTCTTTTCTCATGGATGTTTTTAATACACCTTCATTTTCTCTTCACAGAGAAGCATACAATTCACATCTCGAAGCATTCTGATCTACAACACAGATACAGGATGATCAAGTCACTGAGATCCAGCCAATTTAACCCTCATGAAGAATCATGATCCGCATTTAGTGATAGGAAATACAATGCATCTATACTTCAATGCACCAACATCATATTCCATCTGACAGGTTGAGATGAATAGGATTATTGTCAGGTTTCAGGTTAAATTGCTCAGATGCATTTGAGATAATATGGCTCATCCGTATGCATCTGGTGTCCTCCAGATATATTTGCATATTAAATGCTACCCAATGAATAGCAAATTCATTTCCAAATGTGATTCTTTCCATAAATGAAATCGGGATCTCAAGTTTGAAGGATTCCAGGAAGATCAAAGACTTTTATAGATAGAAAATTAAAAAGATAGCATTCTCAGCTGCCAGAAAATACAATTTAAGAAGAAGAAGAAGGAAATTTTTTTTTTGAGAAGAAACCATATATCTTGGAAGGGTATACCTTAAAAAGGAACACCTCACACTTCAGATATTATAGATCCCATTTATTATTTCTTTGTAAATCATCTCTTTCCCATCCAAAATATAAAGTCACTGTTTAACTAGCTCCTAAATCCCACTTTGTTTGGAAACAATAACTTCATTCTAGTTCTGCAGTTCCGTATTTAATTATAAGAAAATCTTCCCATTTTAGTTGTGTTCATGGCACAACAGCATCACCTAGTGTTTGGCAGAAATATTTCTGCAAAGATTTTAACAAACAGAATTTCTTCTGTGTAAGTAGCAATCATTCTCCAATTCCAATGGCATCTCTTCCTCTCCTGCTTTTGAGTGCACATTGCTTTTATTCTTTCCCAATTTCTTCTCCTTTTCAGATTTTCTTAAATAATATTCTGCATGAATTTGGAGTGCAAAATCTCCTTTGCACCCATTAATTCTTACAGCCAGGCAAGAAGAAATGTTCTCATACTCGAGATCTGGGACTGAACCTGAAATAAATAAGGTGATATTGGGAGGGGGCAGAAGATCCTTTCAAATTTTGGATTTGTTCTCTCAGATACAACACCCATGGTGAGAGTTTTTTCCCCCAAAAGACCCTCTTTTACAAAATGCAAGCTTAGCCAACTTCTTGTAGCTTGCCTATAAACATTCACAAACATCCCCTTTCATTGATAGCTTAATGGAAGACACCAGAGCAAAGATATTTGCAATAACTTCACTGACACTCTTCAAGATATGTTGGGAAAACCAATCTGGAACATCCTTGCCTGAGGTGCCCCAAGATGTTAAGATTTTTTGGTCACTGAAATACTGTAGATAAATACTTATTTTTGCCATTTTTTAAAATGTTCAGTTCAACATTATAGTATTTCAATAATCAAGGAGATACAGTACATATTCATAAGCTGAACCAGTAGCTACATGAGATACTAAATATTGAAGATGTAACTTATTTGATTTATAGCCTGACACCTTTCAGGAATTTGCATTATATCTAGCATCCCCTCTTATTTTTCCCTACATCAACCCTGTGAGATAGATTGGACTGAGAAGGTGACTGGTTGAAAATCAACTAGCCAGCATCCATACCACAGGGAGGAGTCTTCATAGTCAATAATCTTAGCTACCACACTGCACAAATGTATATTCATTTATAGATCCCTGCATGTGAACTCAGGCAGATAATTTTATATGAAATATCTTGGGAATAGCTACAGAAGTAAATTCAAGTATTTGAGGAATAAAATTAGGCAGGTTTGATTTAAATTAATTATCTATTTTATCTGGCTAGCTTTTCGCAGCAAACAACCAACATAGAGTTGGTAAATATGCATTTGTAAATGAACTATTTTAAAACATTTTTAAAAATGTTTAAAAAGCAGGCAATTTCAGGAAACAATGAAACATAACAGGTGAATTAATTCTTCTGCATTTTTCTTCTAATTCACTCTGGGGGGAAAAAGTGTTTCAATTTTTTCAGTTTGCAAATGGTTTCTCAATTCTGAACAAAACTAGTCTAAAGGAAAAAACACTTTTAAATGGCAAAAGAAAATGCTGTTAAATGTTTTACTACTGTTACAAAATCCAAATCTTTTCATTAATTCACTACTATGGCTTTGGGGAAAAAACCCTGCAATTTTCAATTACAGATTTCTTGACTAAATTACTCTTTGCTCTTATGTTCACAGTTCGTATGATTACTGGATGATTACTGAATGTTCAGGTCATAATCAACTCCTTGTCACCAGCTAAGGATTAAACTTGGTATTAAACCCTAAGAATAGCAGTAGGAAAGTGAGCCTGACTGCACTCCATTTTTAGCACCAGCAATGTAACTCAGCCATTGCCTGATTCTCTTTTCAAGGTGACACTCTGTTCCATCCAAGCTTCAACAGCATCAGAAATAAAATAATTATTTCACTGCTCTTTCATCATGCCCACCCCAAATAGACTTGAGGAAAGTAAGCCAAGGTTCCTTGTCTCCTTTTAGCTCTAGTAAACAGAATTTCATTTATATCTTTATGATCTGCCTTCCCTAACAAAATCCAACCAGGTCAGTTAGGGTGGGATGCTCCTTGTCCCTTCCCTTCAACATTGCCTCTTCTACCCTTCAAACCTTCCAAAAAGCATTGAAGACTTGACTTTTCCTCCAATCCCTGAAATAAGGTAAGGTGGAGCGAGATGATTTAATGAGAGACTGTATGTTGGAAGTTTAACTTTGGTGCAGGGTTTTAAAGTTTATGGTCTTAATTGATTTAATATGGTGCCATGCTATTGTTGGAAGAAAAATCCATCTGGTTCAGTTCCAAGCTGGGAGAAAGACATTGGAAACATAGAGGATGATTGGAAAGATGGTTTAATGATGAACAGAATCACCAGGGTTTGTGGTTCTGGTGCAGCTGACAAAATGGAGTTGGTTATACCTTCTTTGGGCTTTGTATTTGAGCTTCTTGTTCCTGTGCAAGAACGTATCCTTTAATATTCTATTGGCTGTTGTCAGATTCCTATGGCGGAGTCATGTAGGGATCATAGCTGGCTGTATAGGCAGAAGGGGAAATGTAAATCCTAGGTGTTCATCTGAGTTAATCTTGTCAACCTAATTGCTTATCTGGAGTTTCTGTCAGGCCCAGTCTTTCTGAATGGAATACCAAATCTGCATTTCTAAAAGTTGGCCTCCTCAGTTTCTGCTTGGAGGCAGGGAGACTGGGTCTGGTTTCTGAATAGGCCACCCCAATCTTTCTTAATGGGCACAAAATATCTGCTGGGAGTTATTAAGAAAGATTGAGTCTGCTTCCTGTCTTTGAGAGCATGCCTCTCCATTTCTCATTTAGAGAAATATAATATTCTGCCTTTTTAATATTTCCCAAAATATTTTATTCTGGGGGGTGGGGGATAGGTGCTGATTTTCTACACTATTTTTATTATTGATGTTGTTTTAATTGTTAATTGGGAGTCTGTCAGCTTTACAGAAGATATGAAAGGATATAAATATTTTAAATAAATGAATACATTTTCCTATAAATGGATTTTGGAGTTCTTAATATAGCACCTCAAAACCCCATAAATGTGTTTCATGTAGGAGAATTAATAAAGCCCCCTTTCCCCCTCTTAGGAGCAGTTGCTGTAAAGTAGTTATTGCAAAAGCCCTTGGCAATGTTTACAACATCAATCTTTTTTTTTACTCCCTGGAGCAGCAAAGTTTTTCAGAAGGGTCACTAAATGAATGTTGCAACTGTATACTACTGACTTCATCATTTCTTGTCAGCTTACTATCCTGAATAAACTTGCAGCATTATACCTGAGAAAGCTGCGTTCTAGGCATTTAATGTTTACCACTATTTCTTGGAAATGTTTAATAATATGTGTGTTTCTTGATTTATCAATTTTACCAGTAAGAAAGCCACTTGTGATGTGATGGATTACAATGAAGCCGCAGTTTCCCAGGAAAGAAGGATAATATTCCAAGAACAGAGTGAGACAAGAGACAATGTACCCTGGAGCTAGATCAGAGAAGAGGGGAAGAGATTTAGGATAGCTACTTCCTAAGATCTTCTAACGTATATTTGTTAGTAATAAACATTTAGTCTGGCACGAGTCTGTTATATGGTGTGAACAAATAAAGAATTGAATGTTGGCAGCATTATTCTCTATTGTTCTTGAGATGGGCATGACACATACTTTTTTTCTGTTAATACATAAGCACATATGATGAAAATGTCGTGGATATATATGCTATCCATTAAGACACAATATAACAATTTTCCCCTCTAGAATATTTACACAATTCTCAGTTTCACCAAGGAAAAGACAGTCCATAGGATACAAAATGTTTCATGACACGAAAATATTTATTAACACAGGTCCTTTAGTAATTTCAAAGCAGAACCAGCTCTTATAATGATGCTTCATTCAGGTAACGAGGCCTTACATTTGTTTGGTGTGACATTTTATGCATTTTAGTGGTTCTTAACACTCACACATAAGAATTTCATTAAAATATTTTGAAACAAAAGCTGTTTCATAGCTTATTGCTATGATGTGGGTTTGAGATATCAGAGGATAGGTTTCATGACCAAAAACCAGTCAAGTACCTAATATTTCAGGAATGTGTTCTACTGTTTCATTTATTTTCATTTATGTCTTGTCTCATCTCTCCACTCCTTTTACAAATCAACTCCAAGACCTTAATTCATTGACCATTTTTAGTACTTTATTAGGAAGCCATTAACTTAGCACTCATCTGCATATTATACAGTAGAATAGAATACAAGTATCTCAGAGATACCATCCTGAACATAATTTTAGTTTTTACAAAACTTTTCAAAGAAACTTTAAGTATCTGCTTTAAAGAAAATCCATTAAAATATCCATGACTCAAAAATCATAAAAACCCTACCAAAAGATTAATAAGGCTGCTATAAAGAGAATACTGATTGCATGCATTGACACAGGCGTGACACTACAGCCATTGGAATTGGATTACATAAAGCAGGCATAAAGTAGCCAGGTTTATATGCTCCAAATAGACATGCATACCAGGGACAGGAGTTCTAAGGTGGGAGACAGCAGAATGGGAAACCAATTGGCAGTAGAACATAGTAGTAGCTAAGCAAACTAAGGTGAAAGGAAAATTAAGGGTAGCAGATGGGGGATATGGACATATGTCATGCTTGAATTCAAGTGCAGTCATAGCTAATTATAGTTGGATAAGGCAAGTATAGCTGGACTGATGCATAGGCCACATGATAGAAGAGGCTGTAGAAGAATAAGGTATGTCAATTTTACCCCATTCAATTCGATCAGTCTGAAATTTATTATGGCTGAAACTTGGAACAACCAAGGTGATCCCTGCACAGAACAAAATACATTCTCCATTCCATACATGCCTCTAAACTGAATGAAAATTAAATTTAAATCTATAAGGAAAACTTAAAATTGCTAAAGTATGCATGAAACAAATTATATGATTTGTGAATATGGGAAATTAGGTGGCTTAGAATGATAATTTCATGATTATAACAATTTATATTTTTCAGGATTGGACCGTACAAAGGAATATCCTCAAAAAACTTCCTTTAAGTGCATCCCGGCACACACATACCTTGTACAATTCTATATAAAAACTGTGTTTACGTTGTCAATCTTAGCACTGATAACAGTCACAACTTTAAGCTCGTTGCTTTTGTATTTAGTAATTCCTTTATTTTACTTTCGGGACAGCAAATGGGATCACATTCACGCAGCTAAGGTCGTGTTTTATGAGCACTACTACTTCCTCTACCTTTACTGAGTTTCCCCAAATCACCGGTTGCAACAATAACAAAAACCCCACAGCCTCTTGTGATGCTCCCTAACAGCGGCCCAAGACAAAATCGGTGGTCAATTCCCACGACTCCTAACGCACGCTTTAAAACTACGCACCATGTTTGGTAGCCGAGCCTTACCTCGTTCAAAGGCGTGCGCCGCAGCTTGAAACGCGATTTAAAAAAAAACAAATTTGAAAATGAGACCTCCCAAAGCGTATCACTGGCTCGCCCGTATCACGTGACGGGCAACAACCAATAGCTTAAGGTTCTTCAAACTTGGCAAGTTTAAGACTTGTGGACTTCAACTCCCAGAATTCCTGAGCTAACGTGACTGGAGGAGGAATTCTGGGAGTTGAAGTCTACAAGTCTTAAAGCTGTCAAGTTTGAAGACCCCTGTTTTATACGGTATTCTCTAGCTTTCCGGCACTTGCTTGGCGTTGGGATCTCAGAGGGGAAAGCTGGTTGTGATCATGGTGTGTTCTTTCAGACGTACCAGGGGTCGATCAGTTTGGATGGGAGACTCGCAGGAGACCCCCAGGACGGGCGACTATCCTGGGAAAAGAAATAAATATTCTGGAAAATGTAACTAGTAGAGAACTGAATTCTTGCCAAAAGGAAGACATGGATGTGCCTATGAAGTCATAAAGCCACAAGCCAATTATCTGGGAAGAACTTTTAACTCTTCCCAAACAATTGTGTATTTTGCGTGAAAGTCTGTTAAAATCAATTATTTCAGACCAAGTATGGCATTTATATTCTGAAACCTAAATGGCTAAAATAATGTAATTAGGCAAGGGTGTCTGACTCAATGCTTTATTCAATTATCAAGCTAAATATGCTGCAAAATATTTGTTTCAAGAAAGAAAAAAATTGAGGGGTTTATTGTGTGCTAATACCCCTAAAATACTAAGGGTGATGACTATAGAAAGATAGCCTGTTCCTGCAATTAAACTGAGTAACTGTGTTTCTACAAAATGCTTAGTTGAAACAAGCCAGGCTAATTATAGCTCAATATGAAGGCCTGATTCATACAAGCCAATTAATATATAATGGAGTTTTATTGGTTTTAACTTGAGAACTGTGATTTATTAACAGAGGTTTAGTTTAACATGTTATGTAAATTCAGGGTTAGCCATTCAGGTTTGCAAAACCTACTCATCATTTTTCATTCTGTTTTTAATGATGTTTAAAAGTAAAGGTTCCCCTTGCACATATGTGCCAGCTGTCACCATGTCCCCTTTAATGATGTTTACTCAAATGTAAATATACAGTATAGCAAGGAGGTTATTCCCAGGTCTAAAGGTAGTTCTTGATTTACAGCAGTTCATTTAATGACCATTCAGTTACAATGGCATTTCTGACACTTATGGCCATAGCATCATTTACAGGGTCACATGATTAAAATTCAGATGCTTGGCAACTGGTTCATATTTATGACTGTTGCAGTGCTCCTGGGGTCATAAAATGGGGCAAAACTGACATGAACAAATGTCTCACTTAGCAACATAATTTTGGGTCAATTGCGGTTGTAAGTCGAGGACTACCTGTATTATACATATCCTCGTGTTTCTACAAGAAACTGATGGAGTTAACTGACCTATGATACATTGAATTAACCAGTAGTAATTCACCATACTGAAACATCTGCTAACTGCTCTGGGTTTATGCAAGATGAGCTGCAACACAGCAAACACTTTTTAGCCTAATGTGCCTGTTCATGTTTCTCAAAGACTTCTTATTATAGTACCCTGTAGCTCACATTGTTTGAGTTAGACTTTATGTCCTATTTGGCCTTGTGTTAGAATTTATCATCATGATGGCTTACTGTGAATCCAGTCCTTTAAGATCTGATCTTTTTAACATAAAACTGGGTTAAATAAATCATAGCTCAGTCCAGTGTGCAAATCTAGTCAAGGAGTCTAACAAAATGCACAGACTATTAAAACATCGAACATTAATGTTTTAACATTAATTAAATATCAAACATTTTCATTTCATAAGGGCAATTTTATTTTTCAATCTTTAAAACATCCACTTGTAGAGTTCAGTTGAAATGTATTAATTTCAAAAAGCAGGGGCTTTTCCAAGCAATAACTACTGGATCTGATGAAGTAAACCCCAACATTTCAAAAAGATTTTAATAAGTGGATAGGTAACTCTTGGGTCAAATCTCACCAAAATGGCACCTCCGTTTCTTTTTATTCGCCCTTCTGTTTGGGATGCTGCTCCGCTTAAACCAGGGTATTTAATATAAGCAAGAATATATACTTGTCTTTCAATAAGCTACTAATCTATTCCATGGCAGTGGGAAATACTAATAAAAGACTTATGTGATTAACAAAATCAAGGAATGTTTGAAACCGATCCCTCAAATTCACGTTTCAATTCAAATTGAATAATCCCCCTCCCACACACACACTTTATGATTTTTCCGGTCAATTGTACGGTAATATTGTAGCCGAGACGCTGCTCGGCATTTTTTCCCCCCATTTTCGCTTCGCCTGAACTACAATTACCAGGATGCATCGGGACATCGATTTAAAAAAACAAAACAAAAAAAAAAAACCCGAAGTTGCGGTGTATCTTGGAATTTGTAGTCTCGGGCTTTCGTTTCCATTTCCGGAAAGCCTGAAAAGTGGAAGCTTGAAGGACGCGAGGACTGTGGGGTGCTAGAGTGTTTTGCTTTCCCGCGCTGCAAACGTAAGAGAGAGGTATTGGGTCGGAATGCATTTATGGGAAAGGACGGGTGGCAATTAATTTTTTCATCTAAAAGTGGGGTGGGGGAGAGTAGAAGCATCTGCTGCTTGTAGCGAAAGGAAAACGGGGGTCCTAATTAACTAGAGCATTTTTCAGGATACACAACCTGTTACAGAGCAGATTAAAGCATGCTTTACACAGTGTAAAATCCCATCTCAATGACACTCCCTACCTAACTAACCAAGGCTGAGCTCAAAAAGCTGAATAGGATTAGATCTACTTATTATTTGAATGGAGACCATCGAGATATACTAGGTAGGACTATAGAAATAAACAAAAACAAAAACAAAATGGGAAGGCAATGGCAACTGAAAAAACGGGGGCTTGTAGTCGCCAAAAGTAAATCGTGATTCAGAGGAGATTTCTCTATGAACTATAAAAATAGTACACTGTTGAATCACAGATAAAACCTCAGATGAAATCACAGGGTGTTTTGCTTAACTAAATGAAGCTTGAGCAAAATCTTTAGAAAATTCTCTCAATGGCCCAATAATATCACTTGCCAAAAGTCCCATTCTGCCTTACATAGCTCAGCTTCAGGGCCAGCCATAGGGACAGTTGTATATGCAGTTTTTCAAATACCCTGGTTGAAGAGACCCACTTGCAATCTGAAATTATACAATCCAGATAACAATTAATACCTCATTCAATTTTAGGCTTAATATTAAGACTGGGGGTGGGGGTTGTTTCAGAGCAAGTGTATCCTCCACTTTTGGAGATAGTAGGGATGAGCTCTAGCCTCACATTGTTCTTGTGGCTTTCCAGGATGTGTATTATGTATGTGGAAGCTGGCTACTTGATTTAAAATTTTGCACGGTTGAGCTTCTGAACTAAATGGAGCATCCCTTCAGATAAGGCAGGCAGTCTGCTGAAGACGGTACCATCCTTTATTCCCATGCAAAATGCCTAATGCGTCAATTAATTGCCAACTAAAGATGAAGAGAAATTATGGAAGTGGCCAAATACTGAAATTAGCTACATGATGATTTATTCCTTTATTGGTATCATTTGAATATTTAACATGACAACATAATTACAAATCTAATATCCAAAGGTCAAAGCAAGTGAGCATATTGTCTTGCCTGACTTCTCACAGTCATAATTGTCATTTGTCATTTCCAGTTGCTAGTAATAGATATTTCAATAACTGAGGTTGCTGTTTTAGGCATACATGTATGTATACATGCACACAAATTGAAGCATTTTGATATTTCTTCAGAAGGGCATTTGGTATTTTTTAGAGGAAGCCATTTATATCCCGAGGGATTAGGATTTTTTTAAAAAAATATGACTTGTTTTAAGAAAATAGAATGTCTTTTCACATGAAAAATGGAACCACTTTACATAATACAGTCAATAAATCCACATGCAGAAGCTGATTTTTACAGGGAGCTGGTATTTGTTGGTCAGAAGCAATAATAAAACATGTAATTTTTCTTCTGTCCATGCTACATTATTTTTAACATCCACGTGCCTTCTTCCACAGCCCATCTCA